ATATTCAAATCGAGGGACTGTGTATAATGAAAATGACGGGTGACAAATATCAGAAACACTTATAAAAATGCAAATATCACGCAGTATAGTTATGGGCTCTTATTTTGAAGGTTATAAATGTTGAACATCCGGTCTCAGCAGTGTTTAGACGCCGTTGCAGGAGGCTAACTGTTAGCCTCGGTTCAGACTACCTGTTTAACGGCCGCAGCTCGTTAAACTCAGTCAGAGAGCAGCGCTGTCACATCACTGGTCTTTACTGAGATCAGTGGATCAGTGTCAAGCAGAAAAACTTCTCCAAACCTGCGGTGTTGATCTCCGGCTTCACCTGAAGCTCCTGCAGGCTGCGGTGGCGGTCGATCTCCTCCTCGTACTCCGCTATGGTTCTTTCAAACAGAACAAAGATCTCTTCAGCAGCCGCGGTCAGTCGCTGCTTCACCAGAGCTCTCAGCATCTGGACTTTAGACATGTTCACACAGCTGTGATCCGAGCTGCGGTCCGTCTCCGGCCGTGTCCTCCTCCTCCTCCAGCCGCTCCTCCTGCTCCGTCAGACGGCAGCAGCAGCCCCTCCTCTCTGCCCCCACCAAACTACAAACAAAAAGTCACCCTTTCTAACAGCTTTACCTTCAGTGTGAAAGTTGAAAGAATTACTCTGATAATAACTAATAAAATTAAATAATTAAAAAAGTGATTTAAAGACTTGGAAAGCTGTAACCATGAAACATTTGACATCTATACAGTGAAAATGACTTACGGATTTAATGTTCCACATTTGTAAATAGACTGTATTCAGCTAAATCCACAGTAATGATTTTGTTCACAGCGTCCAACGGAAGGTAGCTGCTTCTCAGCTGAGCTTCCTGTGCTGAACAGAGATGAATACACACACACTGTCACCCATAGTTAGTGTGAAATCAGTTTTCCACAGTGTGTGTGTGTGTGTTTCACTCTGTCCTGCAGACGTCCAGCAGCTGAATAAAGAGGAGCAGCAGGAGTGGAGCTCCAGTCTGGACCAGTCTGGACCAGGAGGACCCAGAGCCCCCACACATTAAAGAGGAACAGGAGGAACTCTGGACCAGTCAGGAGGGAGAGCAGCTTCAAGGACTGGAGGAGGCTGATATCACCAAGTTCACATTCACTCCTGTCCCTGTGAAGAGTGAAGATGATGATGATGATGAAGAGAAACCTCAGTCCTCACAGCTTCATCAGAGTCAGACTGAGGAGAACAGAGACTTTGTGGGAGGAGAGGACTGTGGAGGACCAGGACCAGCCAGGAACTCAGATCCAAATAGACATTTAAAACCAACTTCTGATGACAAGTCTTCAAACTCTTATAAACCAGAGACTGAAGTTAGTAAGTCGGTGATTGGAAGGAAACCAGGGAACCTCAGTCAGGTTAAAAATAATGAATGTTATACTGGTCAGAAACCATTTCACTGCTCTGAGTGTGGTGAACGATTTAACTAAAATCTAAGGACACATGAACATCACACAAGAGAGAAACCGTATAGTTGGTCAGTTTGTGGGAAAAGAGGAGAGAAACTGTTCGTTTGTAACTAACTGTACTGCTGCGTTTGGATGAAATGTTTTTCATGGTGTGAACCTGTACAGACACACAAGACTTCACATGGAAGAAACCGTTCAGCTGCAGTGTTTGTGATGAAAGATTCACTTGGTTTTATCATAAGTGTGTGTTGATGAGTCCTCATAGTTTGATGAAAGTGAAACTGAGGAGACGACTGGAGGATCAGAACCAGCCAGGAAATTAAATAAAGTTCAACATTCACACAAAATTTGTTTGAATAATTAAATGACGTTGAATATTTAATGTGTCATCAATGAAAACATCTGATTTGTTCTGTCAGAGCACACACTTGCTGTATTAATAATGTGTGTGTGTGTGTGTGTGTGTGTGTTAGCTGCTGTAATTAATGTCTTATCTCTGTCGGCTGGACGCTCTGAGCTAAATGCCATGCTGTCTCTGTGATAGTTGTCGATAATCTCTGTCTGTCTGATGGTAGAGGAATTAAAGGTTCTGTGGAACAGGCACAGCTTGTCTCTGATTGGACGATCGCTCTGAGCACAGCTGGAGGTCGGCCATTTGAACTCTGCAGAGAGCAGCACATTAAATACATTAAAATACTGTTTTTCTTCACCATGTTGCAAAATACAGAAAAACAACCATTAACCTCCAGGGCTGAAAAATGAAACCTTGTACAAAAAACGGTTTTGGTCTCCATGGTTTATTTTCTTCATGATAATTGTACGGAGGGTGAAATTTTATAAAACTCACCTGTTTACGTTTTATTAACGCTTAAAGTTATGTATAATTTAGGGCATGGCGTCTTTGATGCACTGAAATCTCAGTTCCACCTTTTTGCCCATTTTTGGATTAGCTGGGAGTTAAGGGCAGAGTCAGGCATTGCCAAGATGATGACCATGGAGCAGCCCACTCTGAGCTTCAAAACTGCTCTTCAGATATCTGTGGGCGACGTCACGGAGGCTACGTCCATCTTTATATATAGTCTATGCAACCAACTGACCAGCAAATCAACCTGCTAACTGCTAACTGCTAACCAGACTTCTGATGTCGGTGGGGTAGTGACTCAAATAGCTGGATCAGATATTAGTGACAACAGGACAGATCTATTCAGTGTTGGTCTGTATTTACAACAAGAAACATCAGACCGCTAACGTCCTCTAGAGGCCGCAGAGTTCACCACAGCCACAGTCTGAAGAAACACCGTCCTGTTGGTTCCTCTAAAGTCACAGTGATGGAGGTTAAAATGTAGCGTTCATGAAATCTACAGGTTGTGGTTCAGGGAACTGAACTGTCGCCTCTGCAGCTGCTGGCGTCAGCGCCAGTGTTTAATAAAGGTTGATGAGAAGCTGCCGCTGTCGTGTCTTTTTTTAGCAGAGTTTCTGTCGCCTGTCAGGTGATGGGGCCTCGGGGCCAATCAGACTAAGTGTGGGTCTAATTGGGAGGACTGATCAATCGGGGATGATTGATTGGGGAAGTCTGGTGTTAGTGTGTGTTAACGTCTGTCTCCACTCTGTGGAAGATATTTTTAGACCAGGGTTGTTATAGGAAACTCCTCCTGAGAGACTGATGAGGTGTCAGAGTTGAGACAAGTCGAGTTTCCAGCAAATTTTGAATGAATTTCCAGAAAATCATCAAAGTAAAATGTGAGTTAGGTCATCATCAGTGAGCAGTTATCACACTTGCCTCCTCCAGTCCTCACTGGTCCATTCATATGTGTTTCTCTTTGTTTTGTTCTCACAGCAGAAGGAGGGTTTCTCCTGATCAGCTGGTCGCCATGTTTCACTGTCTCCTCCTGGTTCAGTTTAGAAGCTGCAAGTGTTTCCAGGTGTTTCGAACTCACTGAGTTCTATTTTTCTTCTTCTCTCCTGATTTCAGCCCGTTTGATTGACACGTAGAGGATGAGCTGTTCCTGAGGTCTGATCATCAATGGACTGAGACATGTGAGTTCACCTGGCTGCTGTCCGACAGGTTGACATGTTTAGGTCCAGTCACTACAAACCCTGAAGACTCCACATCAAACAGGAAGTTCAATATTCACCACCATCATCTTGGAGCGTTCAGGGACTCTGAGATCCACGATTCACACATTCATTCATTTTCAACACAGACATTTGAATGTCTTATTGTGTTAAATGGCAGTTTCACAGTTTTTTAAAACTCAGGTTCCCACATGACGAGCTTCAGTTAAACTTAAGGTTCTGTCCGGTCCAGACTGAACAGGAGGAATGATCATATGAAAATGTTGACTTCAAAAATCCCTTTAAATGACTTAAATCTCTTGATGAAAATACACAGAATATTACAATGTTGAGATTTTTATTAAAGGTAAATGATGACTATGTGGACTGTTTGAAGGAATCATTGTGTTGAAACTTGTGTATTTAACTTTTGTTACTGTGATCGACAGTTAATGAGTCATTTCTCTTGTAGTACATAAATGTTAAGAAGAGGCTCAGCTGTGGGACAGTAAAGGTCTCTGACCATGAATAAAAACCAGCTGAATGTTTCCAGATGTTCCTGTTTTGAGAGAAGCTCATTGGATTTTCCTTGACTGGATCCTGAAGATCTGAGAACAAGTTGACACTGACACGTAACGTGTTTGGATTAATTTGAACACAAATCTTTATCGATCATTTCACCGACAGTGAAGAACCAAGAATACGTTCACACTTAGTGGATCAATAGTGCAGCTGTAGGACAGTGAATTTTAAAAGCACCCTCTGCTGGACCATAAGGTGAACTACTTCAGACACTGCTCAGATTATAGACCGACTTCAAACTGCTCAGCAAAGTTCCAGTATGTAGTTTGTACAACAGGTATAGATCAATAGAACAAAAGAACAATAGAATCTCTGGTTATTGATGAAAACTGTCCTTTCTGACAGGTTTTGGTTTAAGTTGGATGTCACCCACAGAACATAAACTGGGTCTGTAGATCCTGGTCCAGCAGGTGCACACTTGGTCCGTGGTCTTTTCTTCCTGTCACACGTGTTGAAGTGACCGCTGGACTTGACACAGCCTTAGCAGAAGATTCACCTGACAGACTGAACCCAGGGCAGTGATGATGTAAATGATGAGGTCACTGGAGACGTGCAGCTTTATGAACAAACTTTATTTAAGAAAAATAAATGAATCTGAGGGACAGACACTGGAACTGTAAAACAAAGACAGAAACATGCACCGAGACAGCCAGGTGAGACAGGTGTGTGTGTGTGTGTGTGTGTGTGTGTGTACTTCTATCTTTGTGAGGACCAGCTCCACAGTGAGGACATTTAGTCTGGTCCTCACTTCATCAGAGACCTGTCTGAGGGTTCAGGTTGGAATCAGGTTTACGGTCCTCCCAAACACCGAAGTACAAACATGTGTATGTGTGTGTGTGGATGTGTGTGTGTGTGTGTGTGTGTGTATGTGTGTGTGTGTGTGTGTGTGTGTGTGTGTGTGTGTGTGTGTGTGTGTGTGTTCAGTAGCAACGCAGAAAGAAGGTGTTACAGGCTGTTCCCCTCAGACAGTCGCACAGTCGACCAATTCGAGGCCCATGTTTCATCGCACATCGTTCACCAACGTCACACTGAGAGAGAGAGAGAAAGAGAGAGAGATTTAATATGCATATGTAATACCTAATATTTAATTTTACTCCAATAAAGCTATTTGAATTGAATTTTGCTGTCTGCCAGCTTCACTGGAGCAGCTCTGTCAGATTAGAAACCATCAACTGTAAATAAAGATGGATGTGACCCCTGTGACGTCACCCACGGGTTTCTGACAGCGGTTTTGGACATGACCACCAACAGGTGAGATCACAGGTGAACTGACTGTTTGATTGACAGCTGTCAGTCATGTTCTCACCCGCGGGATGACGCTGGCTTTCTTCTCCACAGAGAGACCGACCCTGCTGTCAGCTTCATCCAGGAAACCCTGCAGAGCCTCCGCCTGGACACACAGAGACACACAATGATGCACAATGACACACACTGATACACAGTAACATCTTTTATGAAAATATTTTCCCAAACAAAAACAGCGTATATGAACTTGTTTTTATTGTGAAGGACTTTCCTGTCAGGCTGATCCTGAGAGTAAAATCCTGGAGAGAAACAGTCTCAGCGGTGGAAACAGTTACAGTAAAACTTCATTTTAAATATTAGATGTGTTCAGACGTCTGATGGTGTCTGAATATAACCAGGGTGAAGATGAGACACTGAGACACTGAGACATGTCTTCTGTCCTCTGTCCTCTGTTCCTGTTCAGTGATCATATTGTTTATTTGTGATTTATTTGTATAAATCATTAAATTGTTATTCATCTGTACACAAGCCTTGTGTTATATTGTCACTAAAGTACATTCATGAAAAATCATTAAAATACTTTAATGCAGACTGTAAAAGTGAAACCTTCAGCTTTTGTCATGGGGCCAGATACTTTATTTTGAAAGGCTGTTGCTCCCCTCTGATATAGATTTTCAAAGAAAATACAGCTAAATTAAATTATTACAAAACTATAAACTTTATTTTAACTCAATTATGTTACAACTGGGTGTTATTTATTAAATGTTTACTGTTATTAAACATTTATTAACATGTTTCCACCTTAATTAATCTTTGTCTTCTTTCCTTCATTTAATTGATTATCATTTAAATTTTCTTTTTGCCTCAATTTTACAAAAATTATTTTTATTGATGTGAATTAATGAAGCTTCACCACATGTATTATTTTTACTTGATTAGCTATACATTTGTCATTGTATTCATTATTTACTTTTAATTTGATAACATTTCCATTTTTACCATCATTTACCAACTTCAACATCATTGACCTCTTTTACATTTCTATTACAATTTATCATTTTATCTTAATTATAATTGATAATCTCCTACAACCTATTTTGATTTGACCACAGTATTAATTCTTTATCTCACATAATTTGACCTTTATCAAAATCATATTTAATCATGTTAATGTTGCATTTACCACCTTTAATTAACTCTAGTTTACCCCCTTAGTCACATGATTACACCTGTTCCACTATAATGTAATGATCCTGTATGATTTTTTACTACTTTAATTAGCTGTAAATTCATCATGTCACCACTAAATAAATGAGACTCTTCGGTTAAACAGTTGTTCTGTCGTTCTGAGAAGAACCAGGTCATGTGACTCACCAGCTCTCTGGTTGTGAGTCCTAGGACCTGCTCGTCCAGTGTAGACGGCAGTGGGTTGTCGGCCGACCTTTGACCCTGACAGAGTGACGTCAGCACGGACAGACAGATGGACAGGTAGACCACGGCTCTCACACTCTCCATCACCAAAAATAGTTTTAAAAAACCTAAAAAATGTAAGCACAGAAAATTACATCACATAACAAATTTTAAAATGAGATTAAAAACATTAAGAAGTGAAAGAAGTTCTGTTGAACTCACGATTAAATGCAACAGAAATAATTAATGATCCTGCAGGAATATTATTGAAATGTTCAGTTTCTTCTTTTCTTCTTCTTTGTCTAATTTCAGCTCTACAGTCCACGTCTTTATTTTTTCCAGCTGCTTCTTCTTCTTCGGTCTTGGCTTGAATTTTGGTGATGTTCTCTCCGTTGAGCTCTTCGTCTCCCTGCTCCTCACTCCTCAGTCCTCCTCCTGTATTTATAGTGCCTCCTCCTCCTGTGTGATGTCTCCGCTGACACCCGCTCGCTCACATTTTATTCATGTATTCAGTACGTCAGATGAAACCGTGTGGACGTGTCGTCCGATGATTGATGATGCGCCTGTGTGGTGAATATGGAACAGGTCGATACTGATGTTTACACGCAAACACCCTGCAGACCTGAGTGTTGTTGTCCAGAGGTCAAAGGTCAGACTGTGGCTCACTGCTGAAGGTCAGAACCTCAGAGACTCAGTTCATCATGTGGAGATGTTTTGGTTTCGATCATGACTCGTTACCTATCGATTCTTTATGACTGATCAGAAGATAATCAATTAAATCTGCACTGATCAGATCAGAGGAGCAGACACTCAGACTGTTCTGCACTTTGGACTTTTTGTGTCTGTTGTTGTTTTCTGTCTCTTTGTGGTTGTTTTGAGTCGCCTTACTGTGACACTTCACCAAAGTTGAACCTGATAAATATAATATTATTAATATATATAAATATAATTATATAATATACTTATAATATAATATAAGTCTTTGTGTTTTGATTTTAATGTTAAACAGAAAATCAGTGACTGATCATCTGAGCGGCTCCATGTTAAGTCAGTGTTAATGGAAACAGCTTCACACTGACACTGAAGCTTTAATAACCACAGTGTCTCTGTAGAATCCTCATGAGACTTGTTACCTGTGTAATTTTAAACACACATTCATTAACAGCTTCAGACTCCACCTGCTTTCTGTCCCAGGTCAGGGGTCAGGAGCTCTGAGGATTCATTCTCTCTGTTTCATTTGAATGTTGTTTGTTGATGAATCTCCCATCATGCCCAGAGGCAGCAACAGGTCTGAAGCGGCTGACCTCAGGTCTGTGTTTAATGATGACGCAGGAGGAAACTGTTTTGCCCTTTTCTCTGTCTGATTTGCATCGTGAGGCGACCTGCAGCTCCACTCCCTCGCTGCTGTTTCATCTCAGCTCTCATTAACAGCTAAATGTCAAACTGCTGCAGCGAAGCTTCACTGACCAACCAAAACCTCGGATCTCCAAACACACAAAACATCTAGAGAAACTCCCCTCTCATCTCTGTCAGCCACTGATGTGTGTTTGTGAAAAGCTCGGAAAATGTAAGTGACAGTAGAAATACTCCTGCATTCAGAGTTTGACTTCTCTATATCAACCGAATAATAAACAATAAAGCAGCTGCAACATTAAAGTGATGAACACATTGATAATTATAAAACAGTAATATAATGTGTTTTATTCTGAAAGGCGCGTTCTGCATGAAGAGTACTTTTACTCTTGGTACTTTACGTACATTTGACTTTTTTAACTTTTACTCCACTAAACATCTGGATGAGGTCAATGTATTTTCTATTGTCGTGTTTCCAGCTGTTTGTTTCTGTAGCTGCTTCCTGGTCAGTGAAACAACCTTCACTTTTTTAGTTCCTGTGGGTAAAAAGTTTTTAAATCTCTGACCCTTTATTCACAGTGTAAACGCGCGGATCACTTCTCTCTGAATAAACAGCAGCTGAAGATAAATTTGCAGTCGACAGTCGAGGCTGAAGCCGACGTCACACAACACACTGTTTATTCAGGAAAACCAGAGAAGAAGACAGTGGACGACCTCTACCTCCTCCGTCTGGAAATATCAGTGACCTTCAGAAGAAAAATGAGGCTCCATCTGAAAGTTAGAGATTAGAAAGTTTAACATTAATGTGTCAGAGCTGGAAGATAGTCACAGCCTGCCCTCATGTTCCTAATCAACCGACTGAAAAAACCTGTGACATCACTGATGTGGCGTGGTCACACCTGTTTTATCATCGTTAATGAATCAGTGAAATTTAAAAAGATTTACACATTAATTAAATACATTTGAATTATGCATTAAACACAGATGAAAAAAAGAAACTGGGCAGTTATTACTTATTTTAGTGCTTTTAAATTAATAATTACACTTATGACTAGAATCACACAATTAATTGAAAGATACACACATATGTATTTGTATATGTTCTATCTGTCTTTATTCAAAATAACATGTTTGTGTAACATCATTTCTATTTTCTTACATGTTTTTATTCCTGCAGCAGCTGGTTCATTTTAATCAACAGATAACACAGGTTTAAACCAGGATTAAACTGGGATTAAATCAAGTTTAGACAAGGATTAAATCAGGTTAACATCAGTATTAAACCTTAAACCATCTAAGCTAATGATAGACATTCAGCCCTGCTCAATTTTGATAATCACTTTCATTTCACGTGCATGTGTGTGAGTGAGTAACTCCTGCTGCTGTTTGTCGTCATGTTTTTATCGTCAGAGAAAGTCCGTCAGTGAAGAAACTGTTGTGAAACTGTTTCAGTGTGTGTGTGTGTGTATGTGTGTGTATATAGTGCTTTTCTAGTCTCACTGACCACTCAAAGTGCTTTACAATACTTGCCACATTCACCCATTCACTCACACATTCATACATCACACTTATATGCACAATCATTCACTGAGCCATCAGGGGCAATGTGAGATTCAGTATCTTGCCCAAGGACATTTCTACATGCGGCCCGGAGGAGCCAGGGATTGAACCACTGACCTGCTCTACCTCCTGAGCCACAGACACGCTGTGTGTGTGTGTGTGTGTGTGTGTGTGTGTGTGTGTGTGTGTGTGTGTGTGTGTTCATTAACTGTGTAACACAGAGTTGTGTTGATTTGTTGTGTTATCAGCTGACAGCAGAGTTATACTGAAGGTCACAGAATGAGACCAAATACAACACGCTTTCATTAGACACACCTTTCATCCTGCAGGTAGGTGTGTGTGTGTGTGTGTGTGTGTGTGTGTGTGTGTGTGTGTGTGTGTGTGTGTGTGTGTGTGTGTGTAATAAACACTGCAGCCTGAAGGGGGCACCAGCAGGGATTTGACTGTTAACCAGCTTTATTTGTGTGAAGCTAAATGAGATCCCGTTTAAACAGTATGTATGATAATAACTGATCATTCAGCCAATTTATCAGCTGCTATCAGATCAATTAACTGAACAGAAACATCATAGACATGTTTAGAGTGTTTTACAGTGTGTCCAGCACAGAGAAGTGAAGGTTTTACAATATAAAACATCCTGATCCCTACATTTGTTGACACAAATGTTAAAAAAAAATGTTTAAAAACCCTGTCTGATGAAAATCAAGTGTCTAACTTTGTTAACATCCATATATGTTTTTATATAATACAAGACGTATCATGAGTGAAATAATCAGTCAGCACCATCACTGAGTATTTACATCTTGAACTGCAGTGAACCAATGACAGTCTCATAAATACAGACTCACAGTATAAACAGCAGTGGTTTGGAGGCTCTTGGTCACCCTGTCGTGCAGATTCCTCCTGGACTGAAATAACTGTGCAGCCTCAGGCATCCGTCACCTCGTCCTCTCAGTTTTTTATCGACTCTCGCTGTGAGTTTGTGACACTGACGGACTCATTCCTCGTTAACAGACACCTCTGATCACGATCAAACCGTCGTCACACGCCAACCACCAGAAATAAACCTACCACATGTGAAGCCTGTGGGCTCCCTGCAGACACCGAGGGCTCAGATTTACGCTAACATCTGATTTATACATGGAAATATAAAGAGTTCAGGTCGGTTACAGCTCAGGACTGAGGCAGATACAACCCTTTAAAGTACGTCAGTGGAGCTGCAGCTCCAGTTTAATCAGCCAGTTCCAAACTGAGTCCAAACTGATTCTAGAAATCTTTATATTCATTACATTATCAATAATAGATGATCAGTTTTCTGTTGATCAACTAATCATTTCTAATAAATCTGACTAAATGTTTAACAGTCCTTTAAACCGATTTACTACAATTTTCATAACCGAATAAATACAGAAACATTTACTAGAAATATAGAAATAAACACATTTAGTCCTTTTTCAAATGACCAACATTTATGTATTTATTGTAAATGAGCTTCAGTCTGGTCCAAAATGTTGTGTGATGTATATTTTCTGTATGTTTCTGGGTTCATTTTAACTCAAGTAAAGTGTCTTTGTGTATTATGAAAAGTGCTATATAAATAAAATCTATAATCATTATTTATTATTAAAGAATTTGTTTGTCATGTTTATTTATTTCAAGTATTTTCAAAAGCATTGTGTTCACCGTGTGTGTGTGTGTGTGTGTGTGTGTGTGTGTGTGTGTGCAGAGCAGAAAGACACTGTTTTGTTGTTTTGTTTTTATTCATTTTATTGAAAAACGCAAACAAGCAAATATTAAACAATAAAGCAAGTATAAATCTGTTCTAGATTGTTCTGAAATTCATTAAATGTTTTTGTTTTCTACTCGTTTGTGTTTTGATGAAAAGAAAATATATTTCCATTATTTACTGTAACATTATAAAAACTTTAACTTTTATATTTTCTATTTCTGCTCCGGAAACAACACTTTTATTTTCTTCCTGCTTTTGTTCAGTTTCCAACATTCAAATATTTGAATAATAAACTCCAGTAACACAAACAGTCAAAAGGTTTTTCAGGATAAAAGCAGTAATATTTCTCAGGACTTTTAATTTGACAGGGCCGAGCAGCAAATAGTTCAGTTTACGGTTTAAAGTTTAAAATATGAGCTAAACTGGTTTTTCATAGCAAAGGTTCATGTAAATATTTGACTTT